TGGCCTTTGCTCAGATGACCATGCCCTGGTGAGCCCTGATTTTCTAGCGTTTTTGCCCTTTCCATTTCCCTTTTTGCCCATAGAAAATGATTCTCTCATCTTTGTATCAGAGGGATGCATTTTCTCCCACCATCCCCTTCATCACATAACTGTCCACCTTCCTGGGTTCTGCCTTCCAGTCCCAACTTCTACATTCTGGATGAACCCACAAACCATCTGGACATGGAGACAATTGAGGCTCTGGGTCGAGCTCTCAACAATTTCAGGGTGAGTATGCTTTCACCCTTACCACCACTCCCTACTTGTCAGTTTGCTTTCCCCCTGAGCACCTCTTGCTGTCCTGTTTTTCAGGGTGGTGTGATTCTGGTGTCCCATGATGAGCGCTTCATCCGGCTTGTGTGCCGAGAGTTGTGGGTGTGTGAAGGAGGCGGCGTCACCCGGGTTGAGGGGGGATTTGACCAGTACCGAGCCCTCCTTCAGGAACAATTTCGCCGTGAGGGCTTTCTCTAGGGCCACCAGGCTAAGGACTATGCCCAGGACCTGGACTGGTTTTGAAGATCCCTGGGCCACCATTTAAGCAATCACGTCCAGGCCACAGACTTCCCCCTACCTGGGGACAGCCTTATTCCAAGATCTCTTCCTTTTGACTGGAGCATTCTCTATACAATGTGGAGAGCCCCATCCAAGGGTCTGTGAGGACTATATCCCAGCAGAAGGGGGTGGGGCTACCCTCTAGGGTTGTTTACCCCCACTGCCCCAGATTGACTGGGCCCCAAGTGGCTGCTATGTAAATTAAATTATCCCCTGCATCTCCTTTGCCTCATCTCTACTGCTCCCTCTCAGGGCTGCAATGGTTACATATTATTGAGGGTGTGGGCACTCTGGTCTTTTTCTGTGACACTGGTATCAGTCACACAGAGGAAATAACAGTAGTGCCAATTGTGTCCCTCAGAAGAGACATTGAGTTTTATGTGGCATTAAGGTCATCTGCCTGACCTGGGGGTAGGCTGAGTGGTGGAATGAAGAGCAGTGTATTGGTATCATGCGGTGTTTATACCCTGGCCTGGGCTCAGCCTCAGCTGAAGGGATCTTGGACTCCTCTGTCTTAGCCCCTGCTGCTTAGGAGTCAGATGGATTCTGAAATCTGGCCTGCTTTCTCCAGGATTCTCTGGCCTATCTTTGTCTCCATTTTGCATCAGTGTTTTCATGGTTTTTATTTTTCTTTTAATCATATAGGAGAGACCTGAGAAGTAGGGAATTGAGAACAGAATCTAATGGGAAAAACTAGGACACTTCATTTTCAAATTAACCATTCTTTGAGAGGGAAAGCCAGTGCAGCACCCTGCTGTCTGGAGTGCCATCTACTTGGGAGGCCAAGATAAAAGGGTTGCTTGAGTTCAGCACACAGGAACTTGGGTTCAGCCTAGATAACAGAGACACATCTCAAAAGCAGGTGTGTGTGTGTGTTTAATTCCGGTCTTATGATTTGTAAATGTTGTTGAAGAATTTAGCTGCTGTGTGTAATTGGTAAGCAGAAGACATTAAAATGAAGACGTTACTTAATGACAGCAGAAAAAAACAGTGAGCAGATGGAACTGGCTAGCCTTGTGGAAATTGTAGTCACAAAGTTCAACCAAGGAAACTTCAAGCTACTGAGAGTTTTGAGGTATAGCTAGGGGAGAGAAACCTTTTGGGAGTTAATAAATAAAGGCAGATGGGCTGGGGTGTGGCTCATTGGTAGAGAGCTTGCCTTGGAGGTGTGAGGCACTAGGTTCCATCCTCAGCACCACATAGAAATAAATAAAGGCTTTTTTTTTTTTTTAATTTATTTAAATAAAGGCAGGAAGGCTCTATTGAGCCACAGAGCAGACACAGACTGAGGGAGCTGACAGAAGGGCTGCTGAGCTGTCCACCCCTCAGCTTCCCTCTCCTGGAAGTTGAGGTGTTCCTCCAGCTATGTCTCTAGCCATGTGTACTCTCAGCACTCCTGAGAACTTTGTAACAGCCCCCCAAATTCTTTTCCGACTTCAGACCTGCAGATGGATGAGTCAGGGAGCCATCTGGAGGACATGTCTGCCAGACTTTCAGCCCCAGAGCCTCCCCCAGCTTATGAACCTCCATAGGAGTTCTTCCAAGTACTTTAGGGACCTGGTAAATACAATTGGGAGCTTGTGTGACATAGTCTGTTTTTGCACACCAGATCACTGGAGCTGGAATTGAATATAAAGGTAAAGCTCACTTTTTTTTTAATTTTTTTTTTTTAAGAGAGAGAATTTTTTAATATTTTTTAGTTTTTTGGCGGACACAACATCTTTGTATGTGGTGCTGAGGATCGAACCCAGGCCGCACACGTGCCAGGTGAGCACCCTACCGCTTGAGCCACATCCCCAGCCCTGCTCACTTTTTTATAGCTCACTTATTATTATTATGATGAGCTGCCAAGATCCCTTCTCGGGATCTTGGCAGCTCATCACAGCATCTACTACATAGCATCTACTACTTTGTTTATTGCTAAACAAACAGGCCAACAATAGAAGCTGGGTAGCCAAACAAATCCCTTAACATCTACTCAGGTTTTTGTTGTTTGGTACTGGGTGCTTTACCACTTTACCACCGAGCTTCGTCCCTTGCCCTTTTTATTTTGAGACAGGGTCTCATCACTAAGTTGCTGAGGTTGGCCTCAAGCTTGGAATCCTCCTGTCTCAGCCTCCCAACTTGTTGGTATTTCAGGTATGTGCTACCCACCTGCTGTTGTAAGGATTTGCCACCAAGCACAATACACAGGCATTTAGAAAGTGGCTCATGTCTGACCAGTCTGATTTGAAGGACTATTTTATGGGAAAAGATGTAAACTTTTCTGTAAGTTTCTCCTCTAGAGCTAGGCCAGTGGGCTGACAGGAAGACAAACTGTAGTCGTTGAGGCTGCCTCATGATTGTACCCCCACTCAAGAGGGCTGTGTGGCCCCATCAGAAAATGGCTTTCTAGGGTAGGAGACAGTGCTGGATGGCCTCCAGCTTGGCTTCCACATTACCAAATCCATGAAGGAGACATGAAGAGCCTGTATGTATGCAGTGCCAGCCTTCAGGAAGGTGGCATGAATGAATTACAGTGCTGAGAAAAACTAGTTTTTGAAAATGAGAGGAGAGTTGTCTTGAGGGATGGAAAAATGGCAGTGTCAGCCAGCTCCATTGCAGAAAACAGTGGACAAAGAGGAATCCGACAGAAGGAAGATGCCCTGGATCACTCCAGACTGGATCATGGCAGCCACCCCCTTCCCTGGTGATGCCAGCCAGTTGGGAAGCAGTCTTTCCACAACTGCTGACCCTGGAGCTGCTCTGCCAACATCATACCCTTAGTCAATCAGGAGCTGGTCAGGGTAAAAGGCCTCAGTCTACAGGATCTTCTTTGAAATTCTGGCCTCCCTACCTCTGCTGGCCAGACTATACTCACCAATACCTCTCTGACAACCTGGCTTATCCCTGATGGGTGGCTATGGGGCCTTCAGTCCAGTCTATGAGGTATTCAGATGCCAGTTAGAGACTTATTTTCTTCTGTGTGGTGTTACTGTCTTGAGATTTGTTGGACAGACCCATCATTAAGCTAAGTTTAGCATCACAGCCTGGCTCTGCATCAGGCTGGAGCGTGGAGACTGGATGTCAGAGACTGTAAGAAGTCTTAGCAGGGTGGCCCCAGGCTGTGGAATGCTTTCACAGCCTGAGTGAAGGGTTTCTAGAAGTCCCTGAACCTGGAGTGATGAACTGCCCTCAATTCCACCCTCCTCCAACTAAGCTTCCATTGCTTTTTTTTTTTTTTTTGGTTCCCCCATTATGAGCTGAAGGCTGTTATTAAGATACAGTTTCTGCTTTGCCTTGACATCCTAGAGGGCCAGACTGTGGCTTACTCATTCTTCACATCTTTTGTGCCTGTTGCAAACTGGGTTTCCTGGGAGTATATTGAAGATATCTGCATGCAGTGTATAGGGATGGAAGGGAGGGCCTGGAAATAGAATCAAGCAGAGAGAGAGAACTTGAGCAGCAATCCAGGCCCAAGGAGAACCTGGGTCAGCCCCACATTCTGGAACTGGGATAGCCCTGCAGAGTTGTCCTGAGTTGGGGCAGTGGGCCAAATCTCCCTTCAGCTAAGGCTGTCAGCCTTTGGATGTTGGCTGCTACCAGGAGGCATGACCTTGGGAGAGGTTTTCCTCAGCTGAGGCAATACCTGCAAGGGACTGACGGCTGAAGACTTTCTGCTATTAGTACTTTCAGCAGTGAGGGCAACAGTATTTCATTCCCGAGAAGGGGTCTTGGCAGCTCATCATAGCATCTACTACAGTGCCTAGAGCATAATAGGTGCTTAGTAAAAATATTTTATTTGACAAATTAATACTTGAGGAAAATTTGAGGTAGATGATGACACTGAAGGAGAAAGTACAGACAAGGCACCCATTACCAGAATTCAGTGTTAATGGGGGTGGGGGTCAGGACAAAGGAGGTGAGATGAGATGCAGCATGTTTGGGTAAACTTTTTTAACTTTACCCAAACTATAGAGGGTAGTTTCTCTAGCCAAAATCTTTACAATGAAATGAGATGGAAGCATTGGAACGCTAAGTCAAAAAGTTTTTTTTTGTTTTTTTGGTACTGGGGTCTGAACCCTAGGAGCATTTTAGCGTTGAGCTATACCCTTTTTAGTTTATAATTTTGAGGCAGGGTCTTGCTAAGTTTTTTAGGGCCTTGCTATCTTGCTGAGGGTGGCTTTGAACTTTTTGGGGGGTGGGGTAACAGGGGTTGAACTCCAGGGCACTTAACCACTGAGCCATATCCCCAGCCCTATTTTGTATTTTATTTAGAGACAGGGTCTCACTGTGTTGCTTAGCGCCTCACCATTGCTGAGGCTGGCTTTGGTTTTTTGTTTTTTTTTTTTAATTGTTGGTTGTTCAAAACATTACATAGTTAAGAATAGGCTTTAGCTATATCTGATTTTTTCTTTTTTTTTTTTTTTTAGTGATACTGGGGTTTGAACCCAGGGCCGTATGCATGTGAGGCAAGCACTCTACCAACTGAGCTATATCCCCAGCCCTCTGAGGCTGGCTTTGAACTCATGATCCTCCTGCCTCAGCCTCCTAAGCCACTGGGATTACAGGTGTGTGCCACTGAGCCCGGTTTGGCTTTGAACTTTTGATCCTCCTGCTGCTGGGATGACAGGCATGTGCTACTATGCCTGACTAAAGGGATCTTTCAAAAAAAAATTTTTTTTTAACCTTCCCCTTGTTTTCTTTTGAGGAAATGCTAAGGAACTTTCAGATAATAACAGTGAAATGTTTCAAGGCTCTTGGGCAGTAGGCACGATTGAAGTGCTTTCCCTGTATTAACTCAATCCTTACAACCTTATGAACTGGCACAATTACTAATCCCATTTTATAAATGAAGGAGTTGACATGGTGGCAGGACTGAGATTCAAGAGCACAGCTCTTAACTTCCACACTGGGCTACGATGTTGCTCTTGGTGTGACATGATGTGCTGAATTTCGCTTATTAATGTCACCTCTTAAGCCTCGTCATTAATTATCTGGGCAGGGGGCTTGGGGATCTGGGCAGGGGGCTTGGTCAAGCTTTCCTCGGGAGAGCAAGTTAGTGAGGGGGATTCCTTGGCAGAATGGCTTACACATAGGAGGTGCTTAGAGAAAAAATGATCCAGAGTTTGTGGTGTAGTGGAAAAGTCATGACATGGGATTGGCTCAGCTCTACCACTGATGGTCTTGAGTAAGTCAACATCTCCTGAATAAATCATCCATATTCATAAAGTGAGCCTCACTAGGATATCTTGCCTGCTGCTTTGGGTAGTAGTTTGTTTTTGCAGTACTAGGAATAAAACCCAGAGACACTTTACCCCTGAGCTACATCCTCAGTCCTTTTTCACTTCAAGACTATCTGATCAAGTTGTAGATGGTGGCCTTGAATTTGGGATCCTCCTGCCTCAGTCCCACAGTTGCTAGGATTACAGGGCGCCACACTCAACTTCTTTGGTTATTTGGAAGGTTTGAATGAGACAAAGTCCTATATAAAGTGAATAAGAATTTATGAAAGCTGTGAAATCCCAAGGATCTAAGAGGTGTCATGGAGTGGCAGAGCAGCAACTTAGGGCCTCCTAGTGACAAACAAACTCACATTTATGCCCATAAACACTCCAAACCATCCTTAAGATGACCTCAGGAAGGCCACCCCACAGCCCTTCATATTTGCTGAGCCTGGCACCAGAAAGCCTACTAGCACCTCCTGAGTTGCATGGGGTGAGGCAAAAATCCTGCAATTTATGCTCATTCTAGTATGTATAGATGGTGCCCTGTTGATAAGTCTAGGCTTCTGTTTTCTTTATGCTGAATCAGTGGGTAATTTGGAAGTGATTTCCACTGTACATTAAGAGACCTTTGAAGCCCTAAATTAGAATAAGTATTTGTCAACTCACACTATGGCTTTTATGAGGCTGAAACAGGAGGATTGCAAGTTTGAGACCAGCTTGGGAAACTTAGTGAGACCCTGTCTCAAAAACTAAAAAGGAGCCAGGCATGGTGGTGCACACCTGTAATCTTAGCAACTTGGGAGGCTGAGGCAGGAGGATTGCAAGTTCAAAGCCAGCCTCAGAAACTTAGTGAAACCCTGTCTCAGAATAAAAAATAAAAAAGGAGGGGCTGGGATCGTGGCTCAGCAGTAGAGTGCTCACCTAGCACGGGCAGGACCTGGGTTCGATCCTCAGCACCACATAAAAATAAAGGCATTGTGTTGTGTCCATCTACACCTAAAAAATAAATTAAAAATAATAATAAAGGGTTGGGAATGTCGCTTGGTGGATAGTACCTCTGGGTTCAAGCCCCAGTACTAGGGAAAAAATTATTTCTTACATTGGAGAGTTGTGATGACTGCAAGATAATATAAATCAAATTCTATGGACTGGGGATATAGCTCAGTTGGTAGAGTGCTTGCCTTGCATGCACTAAGGCCCTTGGTTCAATCCCCATCACCACAAAATAAATAAATAAACTAAATTCTCAATATGGTTTCTAGTGTTCAACAAGTGTTAGCTATTATGATGAGTGTTAGTATTACTGTGATCCTCACTGCTGTATTGATTTTTAGTGAGATAATATTTATAATATGTAATTGAGAATCTCTATATTTAGTCATACTGTCTCATTCAAAATGAACAGGCATCCACACCTCCTCCTGTGTGTCACTGAGCCCAGAAGGGACCCCTTAAATTCATTTTTCACTGCAAAGACATTCTCTTCTGATTGTTCTACACACACACTCACACACTTTCTCTGATTCTTTCTGGATGTCCTACACTCCAATGTATTCCATCACTCAGGACTTTGTTTCATGTTGGTGACTGTCATCAGTGTAGGAGTCCAAGTTTCTCTTGACAGCTAGGGACCCTTGAGCATAGTCCTTCTGAACCTTTTCCTCACCCAAGATCTCTTACTCTCCCTACCTGTGAGTCCTGCAGTCAGAACGTAGGCGTGGCATATCCAGAACTTGGAAGTAGATTTATGTTAGAGTGAAACTAGTATGAATCAGCAAAAAATGGCTGAGATGTAGAAGTGATTCAAAAGATTGTGAATTTTGGTTTGGTGGTGGTGATTGTGTGTGGGTGTGTGTGTGAGAGAGAGAGAGAGAGAGAGTCAGAGGACTGAGGAAATGTTTAAGACCACCCACAGTCATGGCAGAACACAGTGTTTGGAAGAATCCATGAACTGTGATTGGAAGCAAGATTGCTGAACCCTGCAGTGGAGATGGGGGGCGCGAGAGCAAGCGTCGCTCACTGGGTTCCCAGCTCTGGGAAGATGCAGGCTCTATCTGGAGATTTGTCCCTGTTGAATGTCTTGCCCTTCAAAGCACTGGATGCCTTAAGCTTTCAGAGCTTGGCACCATAGTCTCCTGAGCTCCATCGACTCCCATACTCCATTCGACTTTCATCTTCCTTCTTCCACTTGTGATGGGCCTCCTTGTGTCAGTTTTCTCACCAAAAGAGGATGTGCTGACCAGCAAAGATGGATTTTTCAGGCCACCTGACAGCTGCATTTAAAAAAAATATTTTTAGTTGTAGTTGAACACAATACCTTTATTTTATTTATTTTTATGTGGTGCTGAGGATCAGATCCAGGGCCTCACATGTGCTAGGCAAACACTCTACCACTGAGCCACAACCCCAGCCCCCTCGCAGCTGCATTTCTAATGATAAATTAATTAACACATCTGGTTTATAGATCAGTCTCTTCTAAGTTTCACCTGTGTGAGACAGAGCCCCTTAGCATGATCCACTAATAATTTGCTGAGTACTATATACCTGTCATGGTTCTTAGCATTTTATATGAACTACTCAATAATGTTTGTTTGTTTTGTACCAGGAATTGAACCCAGGAAAGCTTAACCACTGAGCCACACCCATGACCCTTTTTTGTATTATTATTTAGAGACAGGGGTCTCACTGAGTTGTGTAGGGCCTTGCTAAATTGCTGAGGCTGGCTTTGAACTCAAGATCCTCCTTCCTCCGTCTCCAAAGCCACTGGAATTACAGGTGTGCACCACCACGCCCAGTGAATTATTCAGTTTTTACAAAAAATCAATGAGATATGTGTTATCCCAAGTTTATAAATGAGAAAATGGAGACCCAGTCAAGTTAAATACTGGCCTAGGTTCACCTATCTAGTGAGATTCTGAACTGGGGCTAGAACTGAGTCACATGGAGCCCAAAGCCCAAGCTCACTCACTTCAGCACAGTGAGACACTTTGACTATGTGGACACACGTTGCAAACCTAAGGGGATGAGCATCTGTTCTCTGCCTGGTGACTTCGGCAGACACTGGGCCCCTGGAGACCACATCTGAGCTGCCTGCCTGGAGAATACCAACACTTTTCAAAAGATTTTATTAAATAAACCCAATTTGTTAAATGGTTATGTTTCCCCATGATTTCTTATGGTCCTAATCCACAAAGTTTCTGATCAACCCTGCCTAATCATATTTGTTAACCCACCTTATTCTATTACAAACCCCAAGGGGGAAAAAGCTCTTTCATATAGTTTGGATGCTCTTCAGTGGTATCTCGAGGCATATCTTCCTGCCTCCTCAGCTCCCAGACGGGTGTGTCATTGCGCCCGGAGATTTAAGACTGGGTGCTTCTACTTGACACAGGCCGCTTCTCTGAATGCTGGCTGCTTCCTCCGGAACTATCTGAGCAGAGGCATGCTAGGACTCTACACCTTACTGGTATGCTCATGATCTGAAATGGGAAGGGTTGGTCCAGGACGTTTGGGCGACTAAGGAAAGCGCATTCCATCTGATCTAACATTTCCATGCTTGAGACTTTACCTTCTGCTCTATAAAATGAATATGACACTCCTCTAGAGGTCCTCTGCCTTATTTGTTTGATATTATGATATAGTGCTGTCTAGAGAGGAAGCATGGAGAGATGCCCTCTCAAATGAGTGTTTCACTGAATAATTTCCGCACGCCCGGCCATAGCCCCCGACATCCTATTTGCTGTTCCTTCCTTGTGCCACATGTGCCAACCCCTGTGCCTGGGCCTGAGAACAGCATTTGCTCAGACACTGTTATTGTCCACAGGGGTCTGTGCCATCACCAGAGGGAGAGACAGAAACAAGCTGAGGGGCACATGTACAGGAGCACAGTGGAGTGCCAGGTACAGCCCAGTCACTACCACGCACCCCAATGTCGCAGTCCGGCTGCAGCAAAATAACCAGGGCGGGTGATGAGCAACTTGTGTACATCGATTCAGCAGGAGTGGGAGCCGTTTATTGTAGGACAGGAGGGGTATATATACATTACACACAGCTTATCTTAATTAACATAAACTAGATACAGCAGTCAACCAATAAGGAATCTCCACACTTAATGGCTTGCTGGCGTTACTTCACAAACCACTCCCTCTGGCAAAATGCCAGGCGCCATCTTGACTTGTTTATAGACCCTAACACCCCAATCCTGCTCTTCTAGCCCGGCTGACTGAAGCTCTTGCACTTTCAGTGCTCCTCAATGCTTCTCTGCCCTGCCAGCTC